TAAATTAGATTATATTATAAAATATTTTGGATTTGTTATTATTTATATAATAAAATAATTATAAAATATTGTTGGTATATAATATTATAGTTAGTTAGGTTGTAATAATTTGGGTTTTTTTAGCGGATTAGGGTTTTTTCCCAATTCGAGATTTTAGTGGCTAATTTTTCATCGATTTAGTTAACTTTTTATTGTAGTCCATATATGATTATATACTTAATCCATGATAATTCTATGATTTTTGTTGTGTAATGTAAATTTAATGGTCAACATAAGTTCATACAGAAAAAGAACATCTCAATATTCATAAATTGATGAAAACAATGAAAGTTAATAATATAGTATCCTCATTTCTTATTGGATTCTAAACAAACAACATGTATAATGAATTTTAATAATTTTTTTGGATTTTTTAAGGCTTAATTCGAATGATTCGGCCCGATTTTCGATCCCGATCGTCGATTCACTGATTCACCAATCCGAATCGATTTTTAAGATGTCCGATCCGAATCACCGATCCATTTTTTAAACCACCGATAAATATACCATTAGGGGAATGTAACCGGTCCACTTTATGTGGTGGCTCGAGGGGGTGCACTAGCATTCTTTCAGTGGTTCGGATTGACCAAGAATACAAAGTAACTTTATTTTTTATTTATTTTTGGAGTAGAAAAATCACAAATGCATCTCAAATAAATGATGTCATTATTCTAAAGTAAATCAAACTTAAAATATGTTTCGGATCCTAAAATTATTTTGTTGGAAAGGGACGCATTGGAATAGACCTTGATTTAAACTTTTGCTTTCAACTTTTATAACCTTAACCGTGGATGAAAAAGAATGGTCCACATCTTTGCGTCTTAACGCCCAACGAATAATAAATACTGTTGGGCGCAAGTATCCCGTCCACTTTATGTGCTCGTCGGAGGATATGCACAAGCATTCTTTCATCGGTTCGAATTAAATAAGAATATTCATTGGGGTCGGCTACAATAACCCCAGTATGCTATTATATTTTATTAAGCGTATCTTTAATGAGGCTATAAGTGTTTATATATGTTTTCATTACTTCCAATCATACCGTTTGACTTTTTTTAGATTTTCACTTTATCTAACTTGTACCCATTAATAAGTATTCGATTGGGTATGTACCTCATATGGACGAAAACACTTTCGATGGAACCCGACCCATATATGTGACCCATGAGCTCAGCCGTCAAATTTGAGTAGATGGCTGAGATGGCTTGAGTTACAATATCACAACTGGGCTCTTAATCGTCGGACCTTGATTAGACGATTCATAGTTTTTTATTTTTATTTTTTATTCTACAAATAATTTTGTAGCAAAATTTGGAGCATGTATAGATTTGACAAGAGCGCACATAATACAATTAATTAGAAAATATTTTTGTTGATGAAAAATTATCAGAATACCCCTAAAATTTGTAGGGGTATTTTGGTCATTTATATTTATAGGGAATATTTTTTTTTTTTTCGGGTTTACCCTAATTTCATGTGGGACACCCAAAATTTCATCCAAAAATTTTTTGTAAAAAAAAAAAATTATATAACAGTGTGGCTTGACATTGTGCCAAGAACCATTGGAGCCGTTGATTTTGAATCCAATGGCCAAAAAGTGGGGTCACATATAACTTATATGTTGTTGGGGTCACATAGAAACATTTTTCCACATGGCTAATCCACTTAAATCTATCTTTTCATCCTATCACCTGTCACACCTAAATTCTCATGAATATATTCATTTCGAATTCTATCACTTCTTGTCTTACCACTCATCCATCTCAACATCCTCAATTAATTTCTAAACATTTTAAGCCCTTAAATTCTCTCTCAAAACCCATTTGTAGCACCTAAGAGTTGTGTAGAAAAACATTGTGCTCCACAACCCATGAACACTACAAATCAAAACCCATTTGTAGCAGGTGAGAGCCGTGTAGAAGGACATTGTGCCCCACAACCCATGAACACTACAAATACGAGGGCAATAAAAACCATCATCTACGATTAGAGATAGGCATGGCAATGGACCTGGGACCTGACGTCTCGGGTCCAGGTATGGGTCCAAGAATTGGACCCAGTGGGTCGAGTCCGATTTCAAATATTGGACCTGAATGCTATTCGGGTCTAAGTCCATGTCGACCGAACCCTAAATAGTGCTATTATATAAATGATATTTAGCATATATTTTTATAATAATATTAAATATTAAATATGTAATCTTTTAGCAATATTTATTGGAAAAAGTTTATATAAGGTTACAACCTTAAAATGTAGAATCACAGATGCACCTCAAAAATCTATCGGAAATGTTGTTTTAATGCTGAATAAGCCCTCTAATCGATCATCACGACATTGTGATGTATTAATATGAAAAACAAAAAAAAAATATGAGTCCCGAAAATAGATCTTACAACACATTATCAAGACCATCCATTTTCAATATTTTCATATCTTTATATATCTACTTGATTTTAACCAGTTTTAGAATTTAAAATTTTCTAATTAGATATGAAAATAGATTTTAAGACAATACTAAAAAAATTTTATAACAAAATTACATGTTATGATAAAATTTTAAAGTGCACCTTAATTGAATTGTTTAAGGTTGCATCCTTATAAAAACCGCACCCATATTTATTTAAATATATATTTTTTTAATTTTGGATAGGATCCAATCAAGTCTGGATAGATCCGACCAAACCCGGACCTTACCCCACCCGTTGCCACAGCTAAATTAGAAAGAAGTCAACAGCTAATTGAACGAGTGGGTAGTCAGGGTTAAAGAGAAAGGGCAGAGAGGAGATAGTGGAAGAGTAAAGCGAGGGAAAATGGCCAGTTATCAAGTCAACAATTAAAAAAAAAAAAAAAAGGTGGGGGAATGGGATTTCTTTTTTTCATAAAAGGTTTGAGAGAGATTATTTCTGGTATACTATACAATAACAATAGGATAAACATTATTAGGAGAAACAACGTATATTAGCCACATGCACAATACTATATAAAACAACCATAAGTTCAAGATTTATAAAAGTATGTGGCTAATTTTTATATTGACTCAACCTTCCTCCTTTATCCAATGTAATGTGCTCAAAATTAAATTTTAATTTTTCTGAGTATAACAAATATGAAATCTAGGGTTTACAAAGAGAAATTGACAGCCTTTTCTTTCTGACATGCTAACGAGTATTAATAAAACAGTTGACGTCACGTTGCACCTCCCCCCAACTGAACACCAAGACCAATCTGACATTCATATGCGATCACATTATATGACATCTCTACAGAGTTCCACGAATTTACAGAAGGTTACAGAGGTATTGCTGCTAAAATTTGAGGGTTTATATGGTACAACATTAGCAAAAGGGGCAGTGAAATCATGAACCAGATCACATAGTGATTTCATCTTGCAAAAGAATCTCGTAAATGTCAGTCCTCAAGAGTAGTTCCTTCTCACGCATTACATCTTGGAGATCTGATAGTTCCTTTGCAGACAAGATAGAGTTTAGTCTCAAGAAGCCCTCCAACCAAAGCTTTTTTGACCTACGTTGTGTATCAAATTCAAATTTGTCAGGACAAGTAAATCCACAGTTTTAGGTGGAAATTATTAAAAGCATGTCCAAGAAATTAGGTATCACAAAACTTATCATGAATTTGATATCAACATGCCATGCTAAACCATTCTAATGGCTTTTGGCTTTTACAGCAAATAGCCATGATAATATTTAATACAAGAGATCATTAAGCAACATTTTACTATAACAAAACCTTGTGCAGTCACCGTTATAGCAAGCATTATAATGTTATTGACCTAGTTTAAAATGTATAGTACCCAGTAAAATGGAAGATTCAAGAAAATGAGCTGACGTCTGAATTCTGGAAATAAACGTAAGTAACCAAGGTGTATATGGAGATTGACCAAAAGACTCGAGTTAACATGAGACAAAACAACAACGACAAGGTGCTTTTCCTAAAAAACATAGCCTTTTTCCTAATATGTTCTTGTAGGCAAGTTATCACAGAATCTCAGAGGTGCAATTTCTTGGAAACCCATGCTTCATTGCTATAAGAAAAAATATTATTTTCAATTCCTGAACACAAAAGTTGAATTTGCAAAAGCAAAATACGGAAAATCCACAATGCAAGAAAAGTTTATTGACCTTTGCAATCTCTTTACGATTGTTCTGAATACAAACACAATGATGAGGAATATCTCTAACATGTTACAAAATATAAGGATTTTTGGCCATATACAGACATTCATAAACTCCATTTCTCATTGCAGAAGAAATAGAGCAACACAATTTCAGTAAGAGGCGAAGAGCCAAAAACAAGTAAAACGGTTGAGAAATGCATGCCAGTTTTGCTCTTACCATGGGCAGGCATGGATAGCTCTGAAAAAGACGCGTCTGGCTGCTACAAGGTTGCATGATACATGGATCTCATATTCAAGATAGAACCTCCACAAGAACACTGATCTATGCAATTCATCGTTTGCCAAGGCTCGCTCAAACAACCCATGAATCCGATGATGTGAACTTGATTTCCCCATTTCATATGCCAAGGCAAAGAGATAGACAGTGATTGAGGGCTTCCTGTTGATTAAGAAAGAGTATTATTGCATTCCATGAGAACTACCCAAATCCTGAAAGAAATGGCTAAGGCCAGGAAAGAGTGGCATTTTAATTTTAGGGAAATTTAACAAATTACCTATGAGAGATGTACAATTTCAACACCTTAACCATATCTTTTGATTTAATTTCAAAACACCAACAAAAACGCGCACCATTTTGAGCTGGAACAGTTGCAAAGGGTAGAGTGTTAAATAGTTTCTCTTATGGGTATTTTGATAAATTTCCCTAAATTTGATCTTCAAGTAGATAACTAGTGCCATACAGAACTAGAGTTATAATCATCACCAGAGTTAATACATCAAGAGATCACAGAACCCGTGTTACTTGGCCCAACAGAGAATTGTTAAAAAGTAAAACACAGATGGAGTTACTCCTCCTTTCTTAAGTGAACAATTTAATGCGCAAGTAACAAATCAGCAGTCAACAAAAATATTCAAGTAAAGAACTTCAACTATGGGCACATGGGAATGCAGGCACCACCAATCACACATGAACGTTCTTGTATTTTTTGGAAACAAAAGTAATCATTTTATGGTCAACTTTTCACCAACCATTTAAGTCTATTCAGCTTCAGCTTAATGGTGGACATATTGGTTTGGGTGAGGGAGGTCAAGGGTTTAAACCCATAAAGTTTGTCCCAATAAAGCCAAATAAATAAACCAAGCCTGCTTGATATAGCAGGTTCATCTTTATAAGGAAAAAAAAATTAGATAAAAAAAAAAATCACAGTAATCGCTTATGAGTGTCGATGTATCACGTCTGGCATACACGTGAATTCAAAGCACAACGCACATGAAGACGGCAGCACACATGCACAAATATATGCTGTCTTATCACATGCCTATCCTAGTGACCCTTATAGAAGTGAGTGTAAGCATTCTAGAAGCCTGCTCCAAACCTCTCAATCTAATTAACAAGTGGGCCCAAGTGAGGTTAATTTTCTGGAAGTTCCAATTCTCTCTACGAACTTGCTTTAACAAAGTATACAAAAGGACAGCATTTCCATCCCAAAAACAACCGCGCCAACGTACTTTTCACTCATGCCTCACCCAAAAGTTTAGTGAAATGTTATGATTTTGAGAAGGATCAAATCAAGTTCAAGAGAGACCACTAAACCCTTAAATTGTGCTCCCACTGCAGTCTCAATAGAGTCATAAATTGCAATCTCTTAAAGGCCCAACACTGAGCCTTCAAATTCCTATGTTTTTTATGACCAATCCACTCCTTACTGATAAATCCTAGCTTGACAAGTGCCTAGACAATAATGTACACCGATAATCTTTCATTAATTACCCCACAAGGAGAACATGTGCAAATCCTGCCCCAGAAACACCTGAGCAAACCTAAATTGATAGAAATAAAAAAAAGTTGGTGAAAATTTAAAGATGCAGAAACCAAATTGAACATGGTGCAAACAAACAACAAAACACCACACTTTACTAAAATATTATTGATCTCCAATGACTATTCTTCTTTCAATGAATGAAAAAAGTAAGGAAATGAAGTCCTTACTCATGAATATATTGATCAAGTATCCGTCTAATCTTGTTAGGAACCGTGTAGAGACGGGCTACTTCCATCATTGCTGCAAAAATTTTAGGATTGTACGGGTACAACTGCAATCCTTGCAGCATAATTTCCCATGATTTTGAGAAGTTTGAAAGCTTCAAGTTCTTTTGATACATAGAGGTGAAGTGAACGAACAAGGATTCCAGTTGAAGATTTTGGCTTCTCCTCCCTGTTATTGAACATAATGAGTCAAATGGTTAAACCTTGGCAAAAAAAGGGACAAACAAAAGCATTAAAAGAGACAGTTACTTTTTCCTACAACAAGGATAATATACAAAAAAATAAAATAAAATGCAATTTTCAATACCCAGTAACCAAAGCAACATTCAGTAAAACCTTCTTGTGCTAGAGAAGCAAGGGTAAAACTGTGGATACTATTTAATGTTAAATCTGCAGATGAAATGAAGCAAAATGGGCCAATATGAACGAATCCTTAGCTCAAGATAAAAATATTGTACCAGGAAAAGATGAACGTAATAGCATAACGATCAACTAAAAAATTACCAAGGGAATAACTAATGTCAATAGGAGTAAGGCAAACAATTAAACAACATGTCATAGCTCCTTGTTATTTCGCGAATAACAGGCACCAACAAGTTGTTCATAGACCATGTTATTATTAATGAAAACAAAATGCATCTTGTTGAACTAGTATACAAAAAAGAAGTATGCAAAGTAAATAAAATGCCGAAACATGCTATAGATGACAACTCAGTGAATAGGAAGAGGCAATAGTTGCAAAAAAAATGATCCAAAGTCTAGGCCAATCTCAACAATGTATTATCTGAGAAGATAGAACAAAAGATTGAAAGAAATAGGGGGTAGATATGTCATTCATCAATAGCAGCATACATAAGTATGAAAGATTTTTGTGTGGCATATGTAAACACTCACAGAACTACAAAGACACCAAAGTTAAGTGTTAACATGTATACAAATGAAAAGGACATGGAGGTCGCATGAAATCCATCCACAAGAAGAATCAACAAACATGCAAATAACAACATACAACTGGCAGGGCAGATCTGCCATGTGAAAGCATGGAGATTGAAAAATAAAAAATCATGATCATCACGATATCTATGTAGTTAAACTACTGAAGATAAACCATTCGTCAAAAGAATAATTTTGCCGCATGTTTCAATTGTTCTTATTTGACTTTTTCCCATTATTATTGTCATAAATTGATACCAGGTTGTGCTCTTCTTAAAATAAAAATTCAAAGAAGTGAAAACATATATTTCGTAAGAACCTGGAAGGGCCATAGACAAAGCTTCCTCATAAATTCTGTGAGCAGCAGTCCAACCGGAGGTCAAACGTTCAAATAAGGCAGCCGAACACACAAGAGCAGTGGATGACTCCTTTATATCTCCACGAGCCCAAACAGATCGCAAGTTTTTTAGTTGTTGCTTATATCCCTGGCGCGCTCTCAAAAGCTGTACATTTGAAACTTCACACTTAAAAGCTATGTACTCAATACCACTTCCCAAGCAGGATAGAATATGTATTGCACGCTGTTGTGATAAAGAATTGTAACCATCTCCTGCATAACTGTGTGCAAGCTCCATCTCTGCATACCATAAGTACAAAAGGGGAACACTCGACTGAAGGTCCTGCTCGAGTAATTTTTCATGAAACAGAAAAGAAGAATTATAATTTTGTCGGATAGACCAACCCCAAGAAGGATATAAGGTGTCTACTATCATTGCAGTGATAAACAAGGTTTCCAGCAATGGTTTAAAACCCATTTAAACCTGGCCCCAAACCACAGCCTGTCCAGTTTATTAAAGACCCTGTTTTTCTTTAAAACACAGAACTGAACTGGATTAAACCAGGTCCCAGGCTGGTTTTATTGGAAAACCTGCAAATAAACATTTTTTTGCATGTTTTAATTTATTCCATTAAAATGGTACAAACTGATTAACTCGTGGTTGAACCAGATTGGACTGGACTGGACTGGCCACATCACTTTTTAGTTTGACCTGTGTTCCAGTTTCCAATTGGTTTCCAGAAAATCAAAATGTCAATTTGGCTTCATGTTGATAAACTCAAAAAGCAGATCATATTTCATGGCTCACGAATATAATTTATAAGCAAAGACGAAACGACAAACATGCAGGCAAACTTTCAGAGAAAAAATTCAGAGAGAATTTATTTGCAACAGGAAGTTGAATCACTTAAAACTCTCCAAAACTCCTATAATTACCATGAATAAACACTTCCACAGATTCTGGATTATAACGCGACAGATGAAATTCGCTTTCCTTCAATAGAGACTTTCCTCACTTTCAACAAAAACATGACAATTTACCAACACATTGATTCCCTCATTACCAGGGATACACTGACTTTGCATGCAGTAATAAATAGATGGAATGACAAAATTTATATATAGAAGTTCTGTAACACTAATGCTTAGGAGTTCTCACATGATCACTCTGTCATCTCGTGTATTTCCTGATTTTCTTTTTGTTTCTTTGCAGGAGTTTCAAATATAGCATTCAGAACCTTAGTGGGCACAACCATGTGCTTCCAGAAAATTGACGATATCTTCGAAAGACCAAGGACAACAACAAAAATAAACCTGCACCTTAAATTTAATCTTTATCAAGTTGAGGGGGTATATATCTATATGCAAAGAGCACCAAAGAACTAACAAGTCTTACCGAAGAAAGCCCCTTAATAGAAGATAAGGCCATGTCGAAAATTTTCCTTGCAACATCAATGTTTCCAGAACTCGCTTCTCTTCGTGCATAGACTCCACATAATAATAAATCCTATTCAGAAAATTCCGAGAAGCATTAAAACTAAACCAAGTCCATCCCCATGTTTTGAAATAACGTATTCGGAAGCACTCATTTATGATATAGTTATCAATCCAAAAAAAATCATTATCGCATAAAAGATTTTCTCACATTATTCAAAATTCAACTACTAAAATATATATATAAAAAAAAAATGTTCAAGACTACTGACAGTTCAGAAAGACTAGTGAATAAATACAAAACCTAGACCTTTAAAAAATTAGTGTGATTCCAAAGAAAAATGAAATAAGATTCATAAAAATGCAAGAAAAAGCTTCAGAAAATTTTAAGCTTTATAGACAAGGTAAAAGAACAAATATGTTGGGATGAGGTTGCACAGAATTGATGCAATTATAATGAAGTAGCATTAGCAAAGAGGAAAAGCTAAGAAGATCATAAATGCACTCTAATATGCATTGAGTGCATATTAGGTCCCCCCCCCCAACCCCCACCTATTACACATGGTTGTGCCCCCAAAATGCATTATCAGGGGGACATTTTTTATCTGAAAATTTTCTAATCATCTTTAGTCAACAATCCACATATAATTAAACAATAAAAAATAAAAAAACTGATTTGCAGCCTAGAAGATGCGCCAACTCAAACCTGCTTGAAAGTTGACAATGGACTGCCCATTTGAGGAACAACAAGGATCTTCAAGAGCTAAAAAGCTTTTTTTTTGGGGGGGGGGGGGCAATTGTTCAAAGATGATCTACAAATTTTCACATCAAAAAATACCCATAACTATGTTTTTGGAGGCTAGACCACCAAAATTAGGTGGTCAGGCTAGATCATTTAATCTTTTCCCATATTTACTGTATGGCTATTAGTTTTTATAATCAACCATTGAATATTTGTTTTCTGTGTGATGCTGAATTCATATAACATGAGAAAACAAAACTACAAGCAATGAGTCTCATAGTAAGTTGGCCTAAAATCCAATCCTTTAATTTTGCTTGTTTATTCATCAGCCATTGCATTTGCCTCACTTGTATCCAAATTTGACAATAAATCTGCACAGATAAAAGATGTGTGCACGTGTTTGCACATTCATGCCAGTGTTTAAAAACTCTAGCGAGTCTGATTTGGACTTTCACGTTTCACTTGGAACTGGCACCCTACTGGTTCCAGATGATCCCTTTCATGATCCGAGCCTGATCTGAGTCTTCACTGACTCTGTGGGTCTTTAAAAAAAACTAGTGTAGGTGGTCTGGCTCTTGACCAGTCAGACTCGGGACTCTGCAGGCCGACTCGAACCTCCCTCCTGTCTGATCCTATGTTTCTAAACACTGGTACATCAAATGTGTAAACATACCTCCATTACGAGGTTGATATCTATGGCACAAACATTCGCATAAGCAGAATAAAATAAAATAAATCAACTTGAAACTAACTAAAAAAATAATAGAAAATGACAATGACATATGGGCAATATACCTGGCGGTCCTTTTTCAGGAGAGACTTGGCTAAAGTTCGTGAGTTTGCAATTATGCTGGTATCAGAAGTTGTTCTTGTTTCAAGAAGCCCTTCTGTATTCAATAGGGCTTCTTCCATAACATAATTACGAGGGAAAACTTTTATACAAAGGAGAATTGCATTTCGAAGAAATTTCAGATGGTCAGGTCTTCCAGAAATTTCATTCAAGCTGCAATCTGAATTGATCCCCATGAAACTACTGCCTTTCTCGTCTACAGCTACTTGAAATTTATGCAATTCTGAAAGTAGAGATTCCGGTAATCCTTCTAAACTTAGAAGTTTTTCAATCCCACAAGGACTATTACTGCAGCTCCTGAAATTTAAAAAAGAAAAGAAAAAGCCTTTAAAGCTTTGACATGCATATAAATAGCCATGCCCAGAACAAGCAAACACACAGAGCCAGGATAGAGATAAAAAATAGCTCCAAAAACTAAATCATGACATAGAGATCACGTCTCCATTAAGATAATTTCTTATTTAATAATAAAAAACGACAATCCGAAGGTTACAAGGTAATTCAGGCTCCAGGAAACAAATTCAATATGCTCAAAGAAGCATAACTACACTAATGTCTCAAATTACAATGGGTTTATGCTCAAGAAGTGTACTATTATAATTATCCAAAAAAAAAGAACAGAACAATTATTTAACAATAAAGTAAGCAACAAGACATCAGAAACATATGATAGAAGATAGACAACTACCAACCATTGGGAAATGGGCCCCCCAAAAAAGTCAATGAAATGAGACAGCAAATAATAACGTGATTCCTCAGAGCTGAGTGAGAAAAGGTAGTCACTCACATCTTCAAACAAAACTTCCCTTGAGAGTTGTGCTTCATCATTGTTGTCTGCAATTCAACAAAATTAAATACTTTTGTGGAGCAACAAAACAATAAATGCAAAACCAAAGAGATAAACTAAGTGAAGGGCAGATGGATAACTATGATTCCGCAAGTGATAAGAGGATTTCATGGTGATCCATCCATTTGAGTAGTAGTCAAAAGCGGTCAAGATTATCTTTTTCTTTCATTGATTATGGAATTCTGTTAATAGGTAAAACAATTCATAAAAAAAAAACAAAAAATGCTAATAGGTAAATAATAAGGCGGATGGCATCAAGAAGATGCCAAGACATCATCTTATTGATCCAGCCAGTCCAAACAAACTAAAACGAGCATTTGCAGTACACCTTCAGGCTCGTCCATTAAGCAAAGGAAAAGTATACAGTTAATCAACAGAAAACAGAAAAACCATAGTCCATTGGGTCATCATTATTCACTGAAATGATGGATCATAACGGAGAGATAGAGGGACCTACTACGACATGAAATGAACCCATTGTGGGTCTCATTGTCTCCCTCACCATCAATAATTTAATTGAACGATGCCCCAAATGGTTCCCTGAAGATCTTCACATTAAAGTGTACTTCCAGGGTATGTTTGGATGTGCCCATTAGCACTAATAATTCACTATTTTTCAATAAATTAATCGTGATAATGAATTCTCTGTTGTTTGGCAATGTGTTTGATAAAGTTATCTAAGATAAACTTACAAGTAGTTTTAGATGTAAGTTTAACTTTTTGAAAAACTCTTTTTACTCTATACAAAGTAATCTGCTAAAAGCCACATGTTTATATCCAGAAATAGCTAAAAAAAGGCTGAAAATAGCCAAAAAAAAAAAGAGTTAAATAATCAAAATATTATATATAATACAATACATGTACCAAAATACTAATAAAATAATATTATCCAAAGTACATTAATTTCAGATAATATAGTCTATATTCTAGATAAAATTAATTGTCATCCAAACTGGCCTTCATAATATGTAAGGAAATTCACGAAGCCCAAGAGTATATGCCTAGAGTCACATAGGATACATGTCCATGCCTTAAGTGAATATAAAATGATAAAAACATGGAGAAAATTAATAAGCAGCCAAAGCCACATAACTGTAACATAAGATCAATAATATCCATGAAGTATTATCATGCAAGAAGAAATGATTTTTATAAAGCATGAGAACTAACGGATGCAAAGAAACTGAAAATACAGAAACAGCAAAATTATGAGTCTATAATATTTGCAAAAAGGTGTACCAGATTTCTCTCGCACAGGCATCCATTGCCCACTGCACCTTGCAGTCTCTTCTTCAGACCACTTCATCCAAACAGTCGTATCTTTAATCTCAACATCAGCATCGGCATTTATGCCCATACCAAGCTTTTCCATCAAAGATGCCATCTCATCTTCTTCATCAATATTTTCTGGCATATCCTCCTCAACATTCCCCTCATCAATTGCATTATTTTCCTCGGTATATTGATTCATTCCACTATTTTCAGAAACCCTAGATAAAGGCTCTGACCAACCTGTCCACCCTCCCTTTTCAGTGTCCTGAAAAGAGACCTCAGTGGCAATGGCCTTTTGTCTGTTTTCCTCCTCTGTCTCCAGCCACGCTGACCAACCAAGAGCTCCATCTTCTCCAACTCGTGCACCATCACCATTCCAGAAGTGCTCAAACAGCCTTTGCTTACTATTTTCAGTTAAAAGTAAGGAGGGGCAAAACAGATTATACTCAATCAGAGCTTGAAATAATCCTGTTGCCAACTCTTGGTGACCAGTTTGCCACTCAAACCTGCAAAGGCTAACAAATATGTCGACCAGACCCGTCTCAAGTTGGGTAAGTTCACTGGCAACTGAACCCGTTTTAGCCATATCATCAATCTGCAGGCAGTAAAATAAGTAGAAAAATGAAAAAATATTGTCTCAAGGAGAAAATAAAACACAACCATAAAGAAAATATTACAGCTTATATGTTCACGCTACATTACTTGCTCTTGGAGCCAGTGCTAGAATGTGTAAGATCAAAGAATGTCATTAAATATATAAACAAAGCAGACATACAACACAGTTTCAAACTCAAAGCCTTGCCCAACTGATGGTCACCACAAGAACAACCTAAGTCTATTAATACATGCAATAGAAAGGAAATGCAAGTAGAATCTTTTCACTCTACAGACAACAATAATTTTAATAGACAATAGGAACCTCTACCACTCAAATGTCAATAATTTCGGACCTCAACTGACAATGACTCCTTAATAAAACATCCCTAAATAATAATATCAGAATTGATAACACCAGAAAAAAGAAAGATGAAAGGCCAATTAATAGAATGGCAATTATCAACAAATAAGAGTAAAACATGGTCCATAATAAAGAAAACTAGTAAAATAGAGGACCTGCCCACATAGCCTCCCAAATGCTGAGGATAGAGCCCTGACAGCATGACTGTATATTTTCCTCAAGTAGGAGACTTTAAACCTGGAGAAATCCCCTAGACAGAAGTGAATGAATTCCTTCCATAATTTGCAACTATCAGAATGTTGAACAAGGGTTCTTTCCCATCTTTCAACAAGTACTGCAGTGCTGTCTCTACTTTGATAAGCTTTCATAAGACAAATCAAAAGATCCTCATTATCAGGATTTAACTCCATGGCCTTTTCCAGAATACTAATCTTCTTCTCAAGCACTTGCAAGCGAGCTCCTTTTTTAGATTGAGTACTTGCAATCTTGTCCTGAACATTAGAAGAAAAATGAACCCATTAAACGCACAATGAGCAAGCCACTTAGTTAGTGATAGGGGCGGGGTGGTGATGAAGAAAACAATTAACCAAGACATTGTAATCCAATGGACAATGGGAACTTACAAAGTACAGACATGAAGAGTAAGAACCACTGGAACAGGACAATGGGGGTAACGTCATCATTGTCCTGTCCATAATTTCATTGGCAGTGATAAACCAATGCACTATAGTATGCTAGTCTTCAAAACTAGCAATTAATGGTTAAGGAGAATAATCCAAATGACTCATGACAAACAAATGCTCCCATGAAGGGTTTTGTTGAAATTCTTCTAACAAAAGCCGGATGAGAGTGAGGGGAAGAGACATACCTGGAAATCAGCAAAAGCCATCCAGACTTTCTCATCGTGAGGAAAATCCCTCGACATTTTGTTGAATTCCTTAGTTTTTCGAATCACTTCATCTTCCCATGACTCCTCAACTCCTGCTTTCTCTGTCAACCCATTGTCATTCTCATCATATGTAGCCTTTGACACAATAAGAGGAATGAAGTCTCCAGGAACTAAGGGCAATTTCTCTAGAGCCAGAACTCGTACATGCTTCAAATCCTTATGCCTTTCTAAAGTCATGTATTTTGTGCAGTAGTAGCGTCCTTCTGTCTTTAGTTTACCATCCAAGGCATCAACATCTCCTTCAGATTCAAAGGCTGAATTTTTTCCTCTCCCGAAATAAGATAACTGAAAAGAAGACCCGGAATAATCTTCCAAAAGGTGATGGAGCCTGTATCTTGCAATATCCATTCTGCATTTTTGGCACCACTGTCATGGACATGAACACATCGATAATGAACAGCAACCCAGTTTAAAGTATTTTATTGAAATATCTAGAAAGTGGTTAGCCGATAGTATCATGCAAATAAAAATGTGAAGAACAAACAAAATGTATAGAATAAAAAGTAGTGTGGAAATCTTCATATGTGAAATAATGAAGACCAGCATCACATGATAAACATCAATTAAGTTGGCTACAGTAAATATACGCGAAATAAAACAAATACAGAAAGCTCACAATAACTTTTGTCTTTGTTAATCAAACATAATTCAGTTTTTTTTTTATGGTTTAGTTTAACGGTGACATAGTTCAGTAATTATGGAGGCTCACAACACTTCTTGAATTGATGAATTTCCAACAACATATGGATTATAGGCTGTTGATCTGCTCAGTGATGATCTTTTCTTGTTTTAATGATGTAAAGGCGTAAATGCTTTCTCTTTCACTGTTTTAGCTGATTAAGGGAACCATCATTGGTACAAAAGAAAAAGATAAAAAATCCCAAGAGAACTGTAGGCAACTTCAGAAATGTCTTCAAATTGTATTAACCCCAGAGGTATTGACTTTGGGGAGTACAGTTATGATTCATCTGACGAATCCAAATGCGCAAAGACACAAAAATATAAGTTTGGATAAAGGTCGCATACCTTTTCCGATTCCAATTAACGTCTTGCGGTTGGTGTTGATCTCTCCTTCCTTTCGCGCGTGGTTCCTCCAAGTAGAGAGATTGATGACCACAAACTCATGCCCATTTTTAATTATGAGTGCTAAAAGCACAATTTACACGGTTCAAATCCCCGAGCCTTTGATGGAATGACCTAAGACTTCTCGCCCATTCGCCAATTCGGGTGGTACTCGTCTCATTCTAGGATTTCCTGGTAAAGAAAACCAAAAAGAAAAGATAGAAAATGTGGGTCTTTCTTAGAGAAAACTAGAGAGGTCCTTTAGGTGGCATGTGAGGCCCTCTTTTTCTCCCAAAAGAATCTTTCTACTTTTCTCTTTTTAAAAGTCTCCTTGCATAGAAAGAATCCAACATTTCTCCTAAGTGGATATGTTTTCCAAATTTTATGTGATTCCTTATAACCACCTTTATCTCTAAATAGAATGCCTTATTACATGGGATCCTATCTTTCTCTCTCTAACTTGGAGAATGTATCAAATATCAATTGGCTTCTCCACCCACAAGGGGTCGACCCAAAAAACAATAAATCCTACTTGTTAGAGAGTGCACATATACCTGTCAATCCCTCATCATCAATCCATGATACATCTCAAAGCCAGAACTCTTCCATGCGCTGTATAGTGAAATGAACCGTGAGACATTAAAGAGCAAACTGCATCTCTCCTTAGAGAACCACATTAAGTTTTCCATTAAAACTAACATGGAACACCTCAGTAGCTGCGTCATTGCCCCAAGAGCAGCAATTACTCTATATTCAAAAAAAAAAAAAACCCTCTTCTCTAAATAAAAAATTACTCCAATCTGCCCTTAACTCTCTTAGCCACACCAGATTGAGTATCCCAACTAATATAACATGAGCCGTGTATTCAAGGAGACTGCTCAACCCCTACGTACCCTCCCACTCTAACTCATCCTATAGAACCTCATTTACATGTAAGCCAAGAAATTTATTTGCAAATAATATTATAATATTATATTATAATATAGTTCCTAAAACATTTTAGCAGAAGAACATTCTCAGTGTAACACCAAATAGTTGCCAAAGACGTGTCATAGTTCTCTGGGGGCCCAATCATAGCGTGATGCCTCTTCCCCTGGTTGCACTATTATTTTCCTTTGGCCCGACTATTCCTAGCCCCAGTCCTACCCAGCCAAACACACATGATCATGGGAATGGTATGTTAAAGTAGCAACATCAAGTCGCCCCTTCCTAATATAGTCTCAAGATCTATAAGGGCCATATACACCATTATATAAAGTAATGGAAGTCTCGTTAAGCACGTGTGGGATGAATCACATGATATCGTGCAAATGCTAAACAACACTAGGATCTATGTTGAATTTACATCATGCAGGTCTTAACTCAATCACAGTTTCGCATCCCCTCAAAATGCACCCTTGGCTTGCACCCAAGCAACTAACCTAAACATCCCCAACCTAACTATCAAATAGGCTACATGATCCGATGGGACGCCAGATGGATCATGCAGATTCCCAACCATGGAATCTCATCTTGACTTCTCATCGAGGTGATACTCTCACAACATGTGTGTGTCTCATCCTATAATATCCCCAACATTGAGGGTGGTCAACAACGTGCAAGAAAATGGACCAAACCTTCCAATGATTTATCTCACAATTAACACATGTCCTAGTGCGCAAGTGCGAATGTGCATTCAAATCATGGGTATTTGCATTGAACAAACTGCAATAACATGAGTCCTATACTTCACTCAAGCTATAAGCTTAGTCATGGCTACCATCCTGCTAAAGGGAATATAGGTCATGACTATCTCTTTCCTCTAAATGACACCTCACCCGTAGCGATATCCAATCCCTACATGCTATGTCTTACTTTGATCCCAAGATCCTTTGCAAAAGCCAGTGCCATTGTGTTGTCATAAAAACACGCTTGCAAGCTCTCAAGCACTCAATGTGATCCCCAAGCTTTGGAAGATCCTCATGAGTCATATGCCCTCATGTAATGTTGCACAACAGTCCACATACTCTGATTCTGTGTTGGACATGCATGCCACGCGTGTCTCTTTCTTGTTGCATAAAGAAATCGCACCCACTCCCGTAGTTAAGAGATATCCTGGTGTTTACCATCAATTGTCCAGGTCAGTAATCCAATCACACTTATTTTATCTGCACAATGGGAGATAATTTCCTAGAAAGATCTACGAATTGTCCACGGTTCTCTAAAGATATCAGAATGTCTTGTTCATGATCTGCCAATGTTCTGGACCTACATTGCTCTGGTAGCAACTTGACAAGTCCCATGGTACAGCCCATCACGTTCACAACATGGCATGCATAAGACTACTTCCGTACACCACATAGAGTACAAAGATCATATTTTCTTATATAAGCCACATCTATGGACAGAGATTCAAGCTAAGCATAGAACCCCTCTTGACATGAGTATTGATGAGTTCACAATCACGTATCCTAAACCGTTCTTATATTTTCCTAATACAAGTCACTTAAGACATAATTAAAGAGCCTCTTAGAATGATTGTGCTTGATCTCAACATCGAGCACATGATGCACCTTGCCCATGTCCTGTACATTAGAACTGGAGGACAAACACTCCTTGATAACATTCATCGTTTCCTTGTCTTTTCTTGCCATTAGAATCTCACAAACTCATGACGATAAATCCATAGAACTCCCATTGTCCTTGATGACAGATCCTTGATAAGGAATGTCATCTAAACAACCATATGGGTAAGTTCTAAACTCACTACAATGGTAAATGTCAATTGAATTGATATCATTCTCACTGCCAGGGAGAATATTTCATCATATTCCACGCTCTAAATTATTTGAAACCTTCTGCCACTAATAAGGCATTGTACTTGTGTATAGTTCCATTGACCTTTCTCTTAAGTTTTAGGACACACTTGTTCCTTGTGGCCTTTCCACTTGGTAGAAAATTTACGAGTTCCCAGACTCTGGTTTTCTTCGAGGAACTAATCCATACGTCTAATCCAAATGCCTACAATAAGGGGTCGCAAGCATCCTGACATTAAACCAACCCATCTTCATCATGGAGATGCATGTCAAAATGGTGCAAACAAAAATTGAAGTTTATTTATTTTTTATTTTTAATTAGGGATAGGAAGAGATAAGTTATGAGGGCCTAGTTGGGTGCATGATTTGTTTTGGGAAGGTCTAACTTTTTAGTTTAGGGAACAAGTAAAGATCTTTTGATTTAGGAAAATATAAGTGGTAGTTATCTTTTACTCTAATGTGGAAGTTAGAAAGAGAGAATATAGGGATGGAATGTAAGAGAGAGAAAATGTGAGAGAGAAAATAAGGAGACAGAAAATAGGGAAAAGAGATTGAGAGAAAGAGAAAGTACAAACTTTTAGAGAGAGATTTTATTTTATTTGGGATTCTTTTTTTAATTATTTATTTATTTTATTTGAAATGTATTTAAAGGGAAGAGGTCCATCATTGTAAACCGATCAGAGAATGATCAAAGATTGAGAATTGAGTAAATTAATCTTGTGAAAATATCGTTTTTGGGGTGGACTCCCTTGCAGACTCTGAGAGAGGGTATATTCTCGCATTGGGGGTGGATTTCCTTGCAGGGATGGACTCCTTAGAGACCTTGAGAGACGGTATATTCTCTCGTTTGGGGTAGATTCCTTGCAGACCCGGAGAGAGGGTATAATCTCTCACCCATTGTTTTATTTTTATGATTTTTTTTTTTTTCTCGACATCAGCTGGTATCAAAGCCCTAAGATCTATGAAGAGCCTTGAGATTTGTGATCTAATTATGGAAGATGTTCGAAACGAAGTTTGTGACATCAATTAGCGGTTTCAGTAATTGGATCAAATATTTGAGAGAATCAAAGAAGACCTAGCAAAGAGTATTAGCAAAGTAGTAGAAAAATGTATACGAGATGTATTTCTTAGATTACAATTGGAACAAGAGGAAGAAGAACATGAAGAGGTAGATCTCAATATAAAAGGCGATGCCTATGTGCAAGAAATTTTGAATATCAATTGTGTAAAAAAAAGAAGAAAGTTTGAAAATCAAATATGAAGAAGAAGATATGTATGATGAAATATTCGAAATCCTACCATGTGAGTCTGAAGAAATTGAAGAAATGTGCCAAGGCGCATGGTGGGATTACATCACCAATTATTAGAGGGTGGTGATTGGCTTCAAGCTCGAGGTCGAGATTCTCCCAACCCAAGGAGAATGATGCAAATAAAAATTAGAGTTTATTTATTTTTTATTTTTAATTAGGGATAGGAAGAGATAAGTTACAAGGGCCTAGTTGGGTGTGTGATTTGTTTTGGTGAGGTCTATCTTTTTAGTTTAGGGAATAAGTAAATATCTTTGATTTAGGAATTAATATGTGGTAGTTAATTTTTACTCTAATGTCGAAGTTAGAACGAGAGAAAATAGGGATGGCACGTGAGAGAGAGAAAAGGTGAGAGAGAAAATAGAGAGGAGAGAGGAAAAAGGGAAAAGAGATTGAGAGAGGAAATAGGGAAAAGAGATTGAGAGAGAAAATAGGGAAAAGATATTGAGAGAAAGTACATAATTTTTAGAGAGAGAGAGAGATTTTATTTTATTTGGGATTCTTTTTTAATTATTTATTTATTTTATTTGAAGTCTATTTAAAGGGAAGAGGTCCATCATTGTAAACAGATAAGAAAATGATCAAAGATTCAGAATTGAGTAAATTGATCTTGTAAAAATATCGTTTTTGGGGTAGACTCCCTAGCAGACCCTGAGAGGGGGTATATTCTCTCGTTGGGGGTGGATTCCCTTGCAGGGGAAGACTCCTTTGCCGACCCTAAAAGAGGATATATTCTCTCGTTGGGGGTGGATTCCCTTGCAGACTCGAAGAGAGGGTATAATCTCTCACCCATTGTTTTCTTTTTTTCTGCCGACATCTCTTCAATCTCAAAATATCTGGCGGGCACTCTGCATAATGCACTCCTACAAGGGTTAGAAATCAATGATGGTTCACTTCTATTGTCCTCGACAACCATGGGAAAACTCCCACTATCATCCTCCAGCGGAAAAATCTCCTTATCATTCTTCTTTCTGAGATCCAACCATCTCATATAGATCTAAAGTAATTCAAGAGCTCATGTTTGCACACTTCAACTCAATGAAGTCCACTTCGCGAGATCCAACTTCATAGGATCTACTGAGAGAATAAGAAGGGGGAAAGGGGGGGGGGGAGGAGAGAGAGAGAGAGAGAGAGAGAGGTGTGCGAGAGGTAGAGAGATAAAGCGGGGAAGAGAGTGGCGTAGAGCACTTTAGTGACTTATAACCCTCTTATTTATATTAAGTAATAATCTAATTACAATTTATGGACAATATTGGCCTTATTTAGAGAAATAAGACAAATAAGGACTAAACAAAAGATATATGATAGTTCTGCCAATTACATACAATAAAACTTGTTCCTTTTATTTCAAACAAGCCCCCTCAAACTGGTGTATAGATATCAATCAGATTCAGCTTGCTTGTGATTTTCTACAATATGAAGGTTGCTTCATTGTCACAATATAGGGTCAAGGAAGCTTAACTCTAACCCCCAAATCAAAAAGAACACTTTTTATCCACATTATTTCACATGTAACATGAGCCATTTCCTTGTATTTTGCTTCAGCACTCGATTTTGTCACCACATTTTGTTTCTTGCTCTTCCATGTAACCGGGTTTCCCAAAACAAAGGTGCAATAACCAGTTGTGGATCTTTTATCAAGTTGGCAACCAGCCCAATCAACATCTGTGTAAACTGCAACATCAGAATGTCATATGGTCGGTTTGTGACCCTGGATGCTGAAGGTATCCTTGGGGTGATCTCGTAGTTCCTACGGGGTGGAGATGATTGGGTCAGCCCATGGATTTTTCTTCCTTTTGCCACATTTCGCTCAAAGGGGCGAAGGGAGATAGTGCATCAAGCTGCTCGCAAGGGCTAACTTGATCCTCTTCCCCAGGAATCGCAAATGAGGTAACCCTAGGAGAGCCGTCGACTCCAACTATCGTCTATGTACGATCTATACTAGATACGACCAACTGACCATCCTACCTCCTCTACGGTCTTGACAGCCCATTTTTGTCTTAGTAGAGTTTTTCAGTGGCATGTTTCGGTCCTCTTCCCCATTACTTAAAAAAAAGTGAGCCACCGGTTCAGGTACAAGATATTATCATTACCGCGTGGACAATTAGACATCCAAGTAGCAATGAACAAAGCCAGTGGAGGCAACGAGCTTCGCCTCCTCTGCCATTGACTGGAGAATAATATCCCTTTCCCTTGTGCAGACTTGAAATATCTTAATATTTTATAAACTACATCAAGGTGCAATTTATGTGGTGCATGAATAAATTAGCTAACAACGCTAACTGCATAAGAGAGATGTCTGGCTGACATAATGTAAGGTAAATAAGGTTGCCCCACTATTCGTATTGATACTGATTAGGATCTTTGAGTAACTCTCCCCTTTCATCATGAAGTTTATCATTGACTTGAGTATCAGCAGGTCTAGATCCCAACACCTCATTTGTTGTAACAAGTCCAACACAAATTTTCTCTGAGAGATGAGTATCCCTTTCTTTTATCTCGCCACTTCAATTCCCCAAAAATACTTAAGCGGTCCTAAACCTTTGATATCAAACACCTTGCTTAAATAAGATTTAAGATCCTCAATGCCCTTCACATTATCCCCTGTCACAACAATATCATCAACATACACTATCAAGGCAGTAATTCCAGCAGTATTCTTTGTCACAAATAGTGTATGAACATCTTGACTCCTTTTGAATCCAAATTTCAGCAACGCCTCATTTAATGTTTTAAACCATGCTCTAGGAGACTGTTTAAGTCCATAAATCGCTTTCTTTAACTTGCAAACCTTTTGTCTCCCCTTTAATTTGAAAACCAAGAGGCATGGCCATAAAGATTTCTTCTTGGATGTCTCTATGTAAGAGTGCATTATTAACATCTAACTAATGAAGTGGCCATGATTTATTAGCAGGTTGTGAAAGAATGATCCTCAAAGTGCTCAACTTTGCCACAAGAGAAAAAGTATCGTGGTAGTCTACACCAGAAGTCTGGGTAAATCCTTTTGTAAACCAATCTTGCTTTGTACCTTTCAATAGTACCATCAACTTTGTATTGCATAGTGAATATCCACCTACATCCTACAATCTTCTTCCCTTTTGGAAGGTTGGTGATTTCCCATGTATTATTCCGCTAAAGTGCTCACATCTTGTAACTCATGGCAGCTTTCCATTGAGGTTGTGGAAGTGCTTCTTCAGCACTGAAAGGTATTCTACTAGAAGACAGAGCAGATATGAAGGCACGATGAGAGGTAGACACAAAATTATAAGATATGAAGTTTTCTGTTGGATGCTAAGTGCAGCAACATGTACCTTTACGAATAGCAATAGGGAAGTCCAAATTAGAACTATCTAAGAGGGTGAAAGAGTTGCTACATCAGGAACAATTCCTAATTCCGGGTTAGCATTCGAGGTATGGTCGCTTAGAGCTTTGGGTTGTACCATTATCTTCCTCCTGGTATACGTCTTCAACTCCTTCTCTGAATGCACACCATTCCTTCAAGATAAACCATCAGATAAACCACTCTTCAGGTAAAAGTGGTACGGGAATAGGAAGGGGAACAACTGATGCGCTCCCTTCACTAAGCTGTATTTTATTCTCGCCCTGAAAAGAGCACTCATAACCTGTAGAAGAGAAGTATGGAACAAATTCAAAAAAAGTAACATCCATGGAGACATAGCAGACCGTGGTAATAGGATCATAGTGCTTGTACCCCTTTTGATGAGATGGACACCCCAGAAGAATACAATCGGCAGCTTTAGCATCAAGCTTTACTCTCTTTGGACCAAGGAGGTGGACAAAACATA